AATTTTCTTTAAATGTAAGATATAATTAGCAGCTTCTACAAGATGAGTACGTAATTAAACTTGGAAAATTTTAGATAGGTATACCATTGATTATGCTGGATATTTTTTAACATGCATTTCTAGTAGTTCTTGAATTTGAATAATTCATTCATATTTAATATTGTTTTTTCTTAATCTATTCACCCCAAGCAAAGAAATATAGCCATTAAGACGCTAGTAGTTGCATATTGCTACAAAATATGAGAGAATAATTACTATAAAATAAGGAGAATAATAAAAGAACAGGAATTAATAAAAGATAAATATTTATATTCCATTTAAGCTTTTGAACATCAATGTTGACTGGGAAGCAGAAAGCCAGGACGTAGTTCCACAAGCGAGGAGTGCGTTAGAAGAAAGTATTAGCATAGAACTTACGGTTAAATCTAGTCATTTCATCTTTAACGTGGTAAGACATTTTCGTCAATCTAGAACTCCTCTTAATTTCATAACTTCTAGGTACCATAGAGAAAAGTTCACCGCAGCAATTACGATGAAATTATTTATAGAAATACCAAAGAGATTTCAAATAAGTCTTTCATATTTAATGTTGTTTTTTCTTAATCATCCCAACGCGACTAACAGAGTAACGCCACTAAGACGAATGTGGTTAATGAGTTTGAAATAATTTGATGAAACTTTAGTGATGAGAAAGGAAAATAAATGAACCATTTTCAGAAGAAACAGAAGATTTTTTGTTAATGTCATAATTGACAGGAAAGTCAGAAGCCGGAACAAAGTTCTACAGTCGAGAAGAGCTCTTTTTTTTCCATCTCAGTATCTCAATAGGTTTTAATGGCTTTATCACCTTGCTTGGAATAAAATTAAAAAAAAGAAAAGAAAAAAAAACTATGATGATATAATACATGACTTCATAAAATATATCTATTCATTACATTTTTGGAACCTACTTTTAATGAATCTTATGACAAAATTTGTATTAACACCTTTATTTTAGGGATAAGAAGATTTTTAGGCCTGTCATTGACGGTAAGATACAACAAGTATACCATTATTCCCTACTATAAAACATTACCTAACAAATTTAACATCATCATAGATTAGCAGCAACCTGCTAATTACTGTTGCTTCTACGTTATTCATTACAAATATTCCCTTTTCAATTTCATTAAATGAAACTGACAGAGACTCAATAGACTATATTCCGAATGGAAATATATTTCTTTATTTTTTTATTCGGATATATATCAGTCATTGTTTTTTTCCAAATGTAACCTTTTATAATTTGGTTTCTAAGCATTTTCTGATTCTATTTCCATTTCATATTATTTTATTAGTGGGTTTCTTTTATTTTACTTTAAAATCATTCCCTTGAAATTGGGTTGTGTCTTTAATACCAGTCATGATATTGCAATTGCATAATCACTGTAAGAAATGCTAGAATTAAGAGGGACCCAAATCCGGTCTGCGGGGCTTTGGCAAAACTGGTTGAAGCAATGTTTCCTTACGGTCCATGAATCGACTCCTTCAGTAATTGTGGATTTGACACGCAACTACTACTTAAGATTCAATTGCCTCACACAATTGCCCGATGAACCCGAAAGGTAAGCGTTGGTTCACGCATGCGCATTTCTCCTCTCCGATAAACCACCGAGTATCGACATAATTAAAATGGATGCATTTTCTGTCTGCTGTCTTTTTAGTTACTTGAGGATTGACTGTACTTTCTTTTGCAATTATTATCTTGAAGTTGATATTCATGTCGTATGGTGGCCTTTGCAGACGTTAACAAGTAGAGAGAAATGGTTGTTTAATACCAAAAGTTTCACGAAAGCTGAGGCGGATATCATTTCATTTCACCCACCTTAACTCGCAGTAGATAGGAACGAACAGTGACCAGTATGTTGAGGTCGATCGGAAAATACTGGAATATTGATCAGTTATTTGTATTTGTGTTCCCAGTCATTGACACAAATCATAAAAACAGTATTTGAATGTCATTTCTTGGCAGGAAACCGAGACATATTTGGAAATCATTCAAAATGGCGTATGATTAGATATTTATATATATTGTTTTTCAAGTGAATCATGATTTCCATTCAAATATACATTCAATCATCTAAGGATATCTTGGATTTTATAACTGTAAATGTGCCTTGCCAAAATTCCTTACATCTTGGGGTTCAATTTTTAAAAAAATTTAAAGTTCATGTGTAATTCGATATCGGTTTGTTAGTTATTTTTCATACAAATACATTATTATTATCATTATTATCATTATTATTACATAATACTTTCACTCTCAGTTTTCAGTCAAACGTAGCATATGCGGCATTCACAATTCATGAGGAGTCTGGTACATTTTGGAGAGGTACAAGTTGCCGAAAATATTTCTAGCATCTTTAGAAAAGTTTGTACAAATTTCAAATGAGATTTCGAGTGAACGTGAGTCCAGTAGACATGGAAATCCTCAGAAGCCTCACTGAGAGTACAATAGATAGTTTGGTGGAAGTAAATTCTATTGGGAACTATTTGGTGGAGTAATGGATAGTGGCTCTGATTGAGGAATCGGAGAGCCGATTTCGAATTACCCCAGCTATGAGTAGATAGCAGGACAGACCGGGTTCTCTAGCATTGGATGACAACTGGTCTACCGCAGAAAGAAATGGTAACCTACTGCCGAAAAAAAAATCTACCTCGTCAGTCATGTATCTTTCGATACATGACTGACGAGGTGTATCACGCAAGGCACATAACTGACTGAAAACTTGGCTCATCTAAGCTCTGGAAATAGGGAATGAGGTTGCATTCGTAAATATTTTAATTTGTATGAATAGATGATTAAAATGAATGCTCAGACAATTTTAGATTTTTTTTGCGACGGAAGATTATTTTCCTCGTGAGCATTTAATGCTAATTAGTAATTCCAAAATCAAACAAGCACAACCATTTAAATATCTGGGAAGCGTTTTAACTGAGGATGGAAAGTATGTCACTAAAATCCGATGTAACATTGCAATATTGAATTATGCTTAAAAAAAGCCGAGTAAAATATTACGAGACAGGAAAATTGTGTCATAAACAAAAAAAAAAAAAAGAAAGAGTATCGGACTCTTATATCAGTCATCTTTATATAGCAGGTAATGCTGAACTATCTCCTCACAGATGAAGAAGAAACCATAAGCAACAGAAATGTTGTTCTACAGAAAGATACTCGGGATATCATGGAGGAAATATTTGAGGAACCACAACATTTTGGAGAAATGGGAAACAAAAATGGCACTTATACTTGACATCAGCAAGAGACAGTTGAAATTTCGTGAGCCCAAAACGAGGAATGAGGGCTTGGAAAATTTTATTCACAGAGGACAAATTGAAGGTAAGAAAGAAAGATGAAAACAGTACTTAACCAATCTAGCCGGCCTGAGTAAATGGGTGGCGGGACAAGGTTTAGAACATTACGCAGAGCCATGACTGCCAACGTCCTGCAGAGACACAGCACAATAAAGAGAAAACTGCTCTAGTGATGGGTGTTCGAGTTAACTTTTAACACAAGATTTTAGATGTTGAAATTTGACGGTGATTTTCCCTTGAAAGAATGACATTCTAGAAACGTATTTCAACTTTATTCCATGTAGACAAATCTAAAGTTGACAAATATATGTTATACTAGTTTTCTCATGAAATGGTAGATTTTGAGTTGATTGATTTTTTACCGTTTATCAACCCCTTACTGGTTATTTAACCCTATGAGCCTTGCGTTTCTGAACAATTTTAAACCTTCTTAGTTCCTGTGAACAAATTCGCAAATAATTGGGATGTAATGTTTCACTGTAGATATAAAAATAGTTACAAAAAATATAAGCCGGGAGAGAGCATGATTGCATGCCTTCACATTATCGCCAGAATTCTTTTTTTTATGCCATTTTACCCAGCATGTACTGCCCCACTTGATGCGTAACAATAGCAAAATTCGACGCAAGTGATTACCCATCGTTCAACCGCTGGCTGGGCTTTAATTCATTTTACTCTACAGCCGTTAAAGCGGTGGTTAGTGCTCAAAGGGATAAAACCAGACAATGTTTTTAGATAGTAAGTTTTTTTTTCTTTTGAAGATATTAATGATTTACTAATACAAGTCCTGTTAATTAATCCATAGCTGGGGGTTCATTCATAACTTTCCTAGCAGTATTAGTATGCAAGCGAATATGACGAACGCGACTTCAATTGGAAGTCAGCTCTCCGATTTTCAATTCCGAGTCATTATCCATTACACCAGCCTGCTTACAGCATCCGGTATTACAAAGCACTCACCATCTAGGTATTAACCAGACTCGACGTTGATTAACTACGGTGATCGTAGGGGAACCAATGTTTCAACGTGATATGGCCGTAAGCCTGAAACGTTGAAAGCACCTACTCGATGACGACAATAAGATTGATTATTTTCGTTTCGTCTTTTAAGGGACTAATTATTTTCTAATTTTCTATTACAGGAAGGGATTGCTCACATCCGGATATCAATATTTCCAATTTATATAGTAAAAGAAA